CAGTCTGCTCTGTCCTTTCTTGTAGACTGCTTCACTGTTGAGTCTCCAGTCCAGTCTGTTGTCCAGATGAACACAGAGGTATTTATATTCCTCAATCACCTYCACTTCTTCTCCCATGAAGGAAACAGTTTGATCTGACACTATTTCTCCTGAAATCTACAATCATCTCCTTTGTTTTGTTCACATTCAAGTTGAGATGATTGTCCCCACCATGCCACAAAGCGGTCCACCAGCTCTCTGTAYTCAGCTTCCTGTCCATCTCTGATACACCCAACAACTGCAGAGTCATCTGAGTATTTCTGTAGATGACAGCAGTCTGACGTGTGCTGGAAGTCCTCTCTAGGACCTTCATGATGTGGGATGTCAGGGCAACAGGTCTATAGTCATTGAGGGCTGATGGGTGAGTTTTCTTTGGTACCAGAACCAGACAGGATGTYTTCCACAACACTGGCACCTTCTCCTGGGTCAAGCTAAGGTTGAAGAGGTGTTGCAGAATCCCACAGAGCTGGTCTGCACAGGCCTTCAGGACTCTGGGGGTGACACCATCTGGACCTGCAGCCTTGTTCTGGTTCAGTCTCTCTAAGGGGGAGGCAGAGTGGGCAGCAGCATCTCCAGGTTTGGTTGAAGACAAACTTGTGGAAGCAGAAGAGTCCATGAATGAGGTTGAAGATAAAACATCTGAGGTTTGACAGGAAGGCTGTGGGTGAGAAGTCTGTCTGGCTGGGGTCAGGAGAGGAGGAAGATGAGCTTGTTCCTGAGCTGAACCTGTTGAAGAATGTGTTCAGCTCATTTGCTCTGTCCAGACTTCCATCCATCCGAATCCGATTCTCCTTTTGCTTGAAGCCCGTGATCTTCTTCAGTTTGTTTTGTCAATTCCACAATTCTGTCTGCATTTTCTGCATTGCAGAATTTATAGGGCTCTACATATTCCAGTCTTATTTTGATTTATTGTTTTACACACCTGGGAAATTTTTCCATGTACCCCCTGTAATATGCTTGCATACCACTAGGGCTATGTGTACCCCATAGACTTGAATAAGAACCCTAGACTGAGCCCCGCCTATCCGTCCATCGTTAGCATCTGTGATGTGACAACATAGAGGAGCAAAAGAGAAACCTAAAATACTCACATTCATAATATTATTTTACAGTTTGTAGGTCTAAATATTAATCAGAGGATAAATCAGCTGTAATATTTAATTTTGTGTTAAACTGTAGCATGATTCAACAGTGCTACACTCTGTATACTCCACCAGCTAATATCTCCTAACCAGTTCAATAAATAACAGTGATTACATCAACTTTATAAGATTATTTAAATTTTAAACTGTTATATTATGTTCTGCTCAGATCACATTGAGTTAAATAAGATCAAATCTGCTGACTTGTGTTGTAAAATGAGATGTTTTCCTGTTTATCTTCTTTTAATAAATCCATAACACACACAGCTTTTCGGGCATTATTTAAAACTTTAGATGGATTATATATACTGCAAATATTAATAATAATTGGGTTATTATTATTAGTAGTAGTTTTTATGATTTCTACATCATCAGTCCTTTTTTCTGCTCTGTTGCCAACATGTACAGCGATGGTAAATCCAGACTCTTGACCGTTTTGCGTTAGCCGTTAGCTTCTACAGCCGATCACATGGTCACGTGGTTTCTGAGCACTCCAGCTGTTCTATAGAACCTCCATGGCGTACCCCTGGTTGGGAATCACTGTTTTAGACGGTCTGACCCCTTTGGGCTGTTAAAGCCTTGTTGTTTATAATTTACTGAAACAGTTTGCATGTGTGTGAGTTTGAGCACTCTTTACTCAGCTTAGATGAGGCTTTTTGTTGTAGTTTATTTTCAGTAATTGAACCAGYAAGAGTGATTTGTGTAAACATAAAAACTCTCATGATGGAAGAGTTTTAAAGAAGTGTCAGAAAAAAAAATCAGATGTTTCAGAGTTGCAATGGTGACTTTTTTTGCTCATGGGCCATCATGAAAAAGATCCCCTTTCTTTGTTTTATGAAACCAGTGATTTGTTTCTGAGATATGGAGCTTTTGTTTGACAAACTGTTATAAAAACTGGTCAAACACTACATAAACCAGAGGGACAAACACGAGCCATTAAATTATACACACCGGTAGATGCTGATCAGCTGTAGCTTGTTCTCAGTTAGTGACTGGTCTGCTGTGATGAAGGGTGGGTGATAATGTAACTGTAATGTAACCAGAGAACAGATGTTAAATTAACTCTGAGAAAGTAATCATTGGATACATCTATAACTGATTATACAGCTAATTCACCTAAGCAAACACAAAAGTAGCAATAATTCAGTCAATTTACCAGACATTGGGCTGTTGTGGTAGTAACTGAGACTTATTCTCATTGTATACTCGGAGTTCTAATTCACAAGATGTTTAGTTAAAGCTTTGCAAAYGTAAAGCTTGTTAAAAGGTGAACAATTCTTTTTCAGCATGAGCTCCGTTTGCTCACCATCAAAGCTTATAATGACTTGTCTGTGAACTCTGGATGTAACCTCAACATAAAAGATGCAGCGTGTCGCTTAGATGACCGAGTCTTTCAGTACAAGTTCCTTCCTCCTTTCATTAAATCAGGATGTGAAGTTCCCTATCAGCTGCATCGTTTCCTTTTGCGTGGAAATGACAGACAGAAATGAACAATGACAAAACAATAAACCGCATCAGTCAGCACCAGTTGTGGTGAATTGTAATCTAAGATCCAAAGTGGATTCTCCTTGTTTTCCACTAAAGCCAGGACTTTGTTGACCTGTGTGAGTCCACAGGGGTCACATTCAGTTACTGTAACAGTGGATACTGTTACCTTCACCAACATCAGCCCACACAGCAGTCACCACACCAGATGGCCAAAAGGGGAGACGTGGAGAACAGCATCATCTTTTCTTTGACACAATCTTTATCTCAAATCCATTTTCCCCCTGCAAAGCTGCTAATCAGAGGTGAAACATCTATGTTGAAATAAACATCTTTGTTGTGAAATGGTTAGAGCGATGRTATTCTCTTAGTAGGGTTTTAGCAACAAAGATGACAATCACAAGAAGTTGTGTAGACTGCACACTTCTTTTTGCACTTGTTTAAATAATCAGGATCTTTCCCTAAACCCCATGAAGTTGAATGTTTTGTTTTTGAAGTCTGATCTTAAGTTAAAGAAGTTAAAAGAAATAGAAAACGGAAAAAACAGTTTTGCCCCCGGTCTGTAAGTTGAAACTGGACATGTTTGGTATCAAAAGAAACATAAAAATCTTGGCTAAAAGCTCATGGAAACTATTTTTAAATTCACCAAACAGTACAAATGTCAAGCAGTTCAATCAGAAAGTAAACAAACTGTCAAAATGGCCTCATTGCAAATCTGTAAATACATTACAACAAATCTGTAAAGGGAAAAAATTTGACACTATTTTTTAAAGCAAGTCGAACTAGATACCTAAATATGTTGTAAAGTGTGTTAAAARTTTTTTTTTTCACTTGATTTTGAGTGAATATGATCCAACTGAAGTCAAATATAATTTCTCATTATTTTATATAATATATATATATATATATATGGTGACAAATAAATGTTTGGATAATTTTTCAAAAGAACAAACATTCAATAACAAGTCTTTTCAGGCAGGTAAGAAAAATTAATAACTTTTGGATGTAAAAACTTGAGATTTCTTAGCATTTATTAATGGAACCATCATGGTCAGTCCTGTGCAGAATGACAAAACACAAAATTATTTCTTTACTAAAACCTCTGTAACTTTGCTCCAGTTAATTTTAACAGCACGAATCTTTGCACAGGTTATGTCCACAAGAGGATTTATGGTTTTCAAAAGCTTTTAGCCTGATTCATTATAGTTTTAAATAGTTTATGTACTGTCTAATGAAAAAATTATTCAGGTGAGAGTGAAAAGAAACTATGTTCCATCCCCAATATCTCTAAAACCACAGCAGCTGTTTTAATACTTACACTTCTGATGAAATCTCCCAAGTGTTATCTTTATTTTGATACCTACATTATTTAAGTAGAGTTTGTAAATGCAGAGATACACTCAGTTACATTTCGGCATGGCATTTTGAGAAAAAACTTTAAGAAAACCCCTTGGGGCTTAAGAAGTTAAAGTGCCTGTGACATTAATTTTTTTTTAAACAAATATAAAGGCATTATTGGAAAAATAACTTCAACACATTGCAAAAATAAATTCCCGCTGCTGAGATGAACAGTTATTGAGATATTTTCATTTGAAGTACCAGGAAGTGATGTCAAAGGGGATTGTCTGCATGGATTAGAGCAGGGGTGTCAAACTCATTTTCACCCAGGGCCACATGAGTGTTATGGTGGCCCTCGAAGGGCCACTTGTAATGAACTTTGACATTTCATGTTTAACTTTGACTAAATAGTGTTTTAACACGTCCTCTTTTAAACACTAATAAGAACTAAGTGTATGACTGACTAAATCTGAAATAAATACAGATATATTAAAAGTAAAGGCAGATTTAGTTTATGGTTGATGCTGACTTTAAAGCAGCTTATTTTCAGACATTAATACTGTGCTATCCAACTAAATTGCTCAGTTATTTAAAGCCAACAGCTCAGGGACAGGAATTTATTAAATTGATTTTTATTTAATTTATTTTTATTAAATTTATTTAGTTAAGGACACAGACTGTAGAGAAGTATCTGATGTTTTTTTAGATTATCCTGAGTCACTATCAGAGAGAGATGAAGACAAGTCAAGAGTTCAAATATTGTTTCGATAAACAAAGACCAGAGAGTTCTCTTTCTTAAATAGTTCCCCTTTGATGTCACTTCCTGTTTCACTTTGGCTGATTCAAGTTCAAAAGAGAATATGCCATTTATGTGCTCAAATAGGTAAAAATCACATTTTATGCAAGGTTTCTTACATAAAAATGTGTTTTCTTTGACCTTTTGTGTTCGATGGATAGGCATGTCACAGGCACTTTAAAGAAAGTTTGAGTGAGTATAACGACATTAGCATCAGATGTTAACAATGTATTTACTTTTATCTTTTATATTTAATAAAATTTTGCAGATATTTATTTAATAGGGTCCATTTTATTAAAAAAGACTTCTGTAACATTTATGTTTTTATACACAATCTAAAGCCTTCATTTAAAGCTACAAAAATAATGTTGTTTTTACAACTCATAAGCTGCTTTGTTGTTGCTGAAATCAGTATTGACTTACATTTTAAATTTAATCTTGACGAAGAAAATCTGTAATAAATTACAGTCTACCGCAGTAGGGTTGGGCAATATTGGCAAAAAAATTAATCACGATTAATTGTGGTATTTAGCTGATAACGATTATTTTGACGATTAATCCCCTGGAGTCCCTGGACACCCTTATGTCCTAGTCACATGACCAATTTAGTGGTAAAGATTTGCTGTACGTAAAAATCTGTTCCAAATTGTGTCAAAATTACAGTCTTCAGGCTATACATGAAATTTTAAATTTTTTTGATAAAGAAAAAAATTACAGAACTTTTTTTTAAAAATGTTTCATCATATTTGAAGTGGAAAGGAGCACCGAGCGGACTGACTGGAGGAATCCCCAGTCAGTCTGCCTGGTGGCATTAATCGTATTAATCGTCAAGTGTAAAAAATAATCGATTAATGTTTTTCTGACGATTAATTGCACTCGATACGATTATGCCCAACCCTATACCGTAGATTACTTCACATCACCTAAAATTTTGTTTTTATTTATTTTGATCAGGCAGCTGGCCCACCTCGATAACATTTGTCTGCAAATTTCATCTAAAATATGCTGAATTTCGATCACAGTATTGGTTCTGTGTGACCTTTTTAAAGGTTTTTTTATTAGCTGTGCTTTTTATTAAAATAAAAATCCCCTCCTGCATCCCGACCTGTCTGCATCTTGCTGTGATCTTGCGAGACATGGAGCTGAAATGAAAAGCATCACATCTTCCCTTTTTTATATTGATTGTTTCTTCTGTACTCTGTCTCTGCTGTTTAATCTCTTGGGCTACAGTGTTTGCTTTACTGTATACATAAGACTGCTGTGGGGTTCACTGGGTGCAGTGCAGTGAAGCAGCCATCTTGGCTTAGTGAGTTCAGTGAGTTCAGTGTTGCTGGAGGCAGGCTGGATCAGGTGGTAGTGCCAGATCTCTGATATCAATCACCAGTCGCTGCTGCCGCCACTGTCTGCTGTGTCCCTTTTCCTCTTTTCTCCTCTCGTTCTGTCCTCATTTGCTGCAAACCTTTTTTTTTTAAACGCTGTCTGTCCATCACCCAGAATCCCTCCTTCTATTTCTCTTGTTTCTCTAAACTTACATGCACATACACAGCAGTAGCCGACAGGGAGACAGTGCAGGCTTTGTTATGAATGGCATCCTCTTGCACATCCGGAGGAAGTGTACTCTCTAGTGTGGCTTTACAAACTGTCTCCATTGTCCTAAGAATGACTCACTCTACACTGCAGATAATGGCAGTCAGCCAGCCAGCCAGCCAAACAGACAGACAGCACAGCACAGAAGGACCAGTCTGCAGAGTCCACAGACAAACAGCACAGGAACGACTGACGGACAGACAGACAAATAGTTTGTGACAGATACAGCCACCACAGAAAAGAGGCAGGAGACTTGTCAGACAGAGCAACTGGAACTGCAACTAGCAGGTGCAGAAACAAAACTGAAAGTGAGCTGTTTAATTTAAACAGGCGGAGCGTTAAATTACTCACTTTAACTTGAAATTGAAACTTCACAGGGAATAATCTTGTATTAAAATGCTCAGATTTTGTCTTGTAAAAAAATGTAAGCTGACACACGGAGTGCCTATTTTTAGTCATCAGTGTGGCTGGTGGTTCCTTTATGTTATAGAAAGACTGATAAAAATGTGAGCTCATAAAGTAGTTTTATGAAGCATAAATTAGGGCTGCACAATATTGAAAAAAAAAAACTGACATGACAATGTTTCCCAACCCTGCAATATATATTATGATATGAAAAAAATACATGCTGCCATCTTGTTGACAATGAACCTTYATCGGTCTTACCTCTCTTTTGTTCGTGTCACAAGTATGTTTTTTATGTATTTAAGTAATTCTTGTATTTTATTACTTGCTTTTATTGTGCTGGGACCTGAACACATTTCTTTTGATCAAATATGCATATGTGAATTGCGTTTTACTGCTATCTTGGTTTCTATTTTCGTCACGCTATATTATTAGCATTCATGCTAACCATATGTAGCCTCTTTTCCTCCAGTTCTCTGCAGATTTGTCTATCTTCATCGTCTTCTTCCACAGTTCGAGAATTCACGTCAACACTTCTCTGAAAAACGTTGTTAATATTGTCTCAGATGATTTAGTGGTTTATTCCCTAGATAGCCCGTTGATTTAATTCCTCCTACATAGGAGGACCTGCAATGTGAATATTGCACAGGTGCATATTACGATGATGATGCTTAAAGAATATATTTTGAAGCTCTAGTATAAAACCAAATGGTGGAGCTTGGCATTTCATTTACAATGTTTTTGTGTTTATGAACGGYTTGGCTTGATGCTTAAGGAGTAATGCTATGTCGACACCAAAAATACCTAGCAGATGTTTCCAAAATTTGTAGCTAAATGATTTTAGGCCTTTTAGAGGGATGGTATAAATATTTGAAATGGGTTTTTGTGAAGTTGTAAGTCTTTGTATCTAAAGCCCCCTAAATACTGAATTATGACATTGCTATTGCAGAAATAATCAAAATGGACAGCATAGCCAAGGTCAAGTTTTTTTTTTTTTTCAAATTTAAATTATTGATGTTCGACCTGCATCACTTTTCTCCTTTGAGTGGCTATGATAATCATATAGTCTGYTTTACAACATGTTGCAGTGGGATGCTGAAGATTGCAAACAGTAAATTGTAATGATTTTAGCATTAGTAAATATTTATCTAATGCCAAATTGATGCACAGTAAATGATTTCTAATGGTATCATTGTGACACTTTTGATGTTTGAGTTGTGAAAATTTATTCTGTTAGCTCAACTCCCAATGAGAAATCTTATTTCCCCCAAATGTCTGTCCACTGCAAGTAGGACGCTGACTACACATAAGTGCTCCACCAAACCGCTGTTTAAAAAGTCTAAACGGTTGTTTTAACTCATTGAAGACAGGAAGAGTGTTGAGTGAGGGAAGCAGCCTTTTTAAAACCAATGCAGACAGATGGGTATCTGAATGTACTAATGTAGTGTGAGGCAGTCTTGAATAAATGWATGAATGGATCAATGAATGAAGTGCTGCTCGCTGCGTATGGAGAACTTAGGGCGGGCAAGCAGTAGAGGATGAAGGGAGTAGATGTTGAGTAACAGGATTAGATTGCAGCTGAGGATCGTCGGAACGCTGACCTCAAACATTTGATCAGAACAAGGAGGGATGCACTGATGAGATTTTTTATTGTCACCATTAAACAAATGTCATACACTATACATTATCACATCTCATGATGCACAGTGTAACTCTTGTAAAACTCATTGCAATGGAAGTATCATTCCTTGAAGGAAAGCAAATCTTCTGCTGCCTTGTTTAAAGATGTTGTACGTAGGTTTTAGAAAACTGTGGACTTAGAAAAAAGTTTGAAAAGACACAGCTTCCAGGTCCCTCCCCCTTTGCTCTGTTGAGCTACAGCCCTCCCTCCTAAGCTCCTCCCCCACAGCGTGGCCTGTCGTGAACAGGCAAGCTAGTAAACAAGATGAGTGTGGGCCACAGACGGCAAATAAACAGCTATGCTACAGTCACCGGTAAGACTGAAACATTAACAATAGATTTTTAACTATCTTGGCTTGCCCATACTTTAACTACCAGAACTTCTCCTCAAATCTTTACGTATTTTGCCGTAACATTACATGTAAATTACGTTGCACTCTTTCTAAAAGTTATAAATAGCTAACAAAACGGTAGCTACAGCTTAGCAATATGTAATGTTATATAAAGTTTATTATTTCAGCAACATGACAAGCCAGTGAATTAGTGGTTTTCATCTCTTGTTTTGAACAGTGTGTAACATTTTATCTGTACGTTATGCAGTTAGAGTTTTTGRCACAGTCAATGGGCTCYGAGGAGGGCATCCACAGCGAATTCYAAGAGCCAACGAACGGGGAGAAGAGGAAGCCGTTTGCGTGGAGCATCAGGCAGGTCATGTGGGARACGAGGCAGAGATCACTGAGTGGGTTCAACTCCTGAGAACCTCAGCAGAGAGGACATGGTGCGTGTGGAAGTCTTTGCATTTCAAACCTACCTACTACACAAAGAGGAATACATTTTGCAGGCAGGGGTCTTGCCTTTGGCCAGGAGGATCTGGACCTGCGTGCTGTAGTTGACCTTCCAGATGACGGTGAAGACAACAGGCAATTCCACACGCAGCATACAGAGTTTGTGGCTTGGCAGCGTGGGACTCGGGGTCCTGGACTGCTTTCAAGATCCTCATGGACAATACAGGGGATTTGTTCCCAGGAGGGTATAGCTGTTGTGTGGTGTTCTTTTAAAATTTTGAATACTGTCTCGTCATGTATAAAACATTTTCCTATTTAAAACAACATTTCTATTAGAACATTTGTAACTATTTTTCAATAAAGTGTGAAATGTTTTTTTTTATATTTACTCATTTGTCAGAACTAAAGCATCACTTTACCATTGTACATTACTGGATTATGTTTTGGATCAATTAAAAAACGAACTTCAAGTAGGAATGATGATAAATCACTGGGTCAATACTAGTCATACTACGACAATGAAGATCACGAAGTCACGGACTAACATCTWAAAAATATGCTTTATTTTACATATTTTTAAGTAACTTGTCACTTTTATCATTGTCATCATGAATATCCAGTGATGACATACTAGCAACACGAACACAAAGAAATAAATTTTATCAGAGATATTTGTTGCAGTTACGTATAACCCAAAGTATTATCTTCCTGATTTGTGTTTCACCACCTTCAATAACTTACAGAAGTAGTTTAATCTTACAGCATTACCTATTAGAGCTGCATGAGAAACCGTTTGAGCATCATCACAATTTACATGTGCGCAATRGTCACATCGAAGGTGATGCATTATAGGAGGAAAATTAAATCAATGTGTAAACTATAAGTCATTGCACCTAACTRTTGTGTGTTATTGTGGCTTTTAATCTGGCGAGTTGCTCCTACTGGTGGAAGCAGCTGTGTGCACTTCGTGTCAAAAAAGTAAAAATAAAGTTAAATTTTGTTGTAAAATTTCTGGRACAATAATGGCGGCATTTATTAGAKAATTTTTGTCTGTGAATTCTCGAGCTGTGAAGGAAGACGAGTAAATTAAAAATAGAAAATAGGAATGGTTTAGCGTGATTGCTAATATTAAAGTATGACATAAACAGAAACGTAATGTTATGCATATAACTACTGTTCCCTGAAGGAAAGGAACGAGGTACAACACATAGTATGGGAAACCACGCCCCTGCGTGTCCTGGCTGAAGCCACCTCTAATCAYGCCTTTAGGCAGGTGACGTGATGACGACAGATGTCAGGCTCCGCCTGCACATATACATACTGTCGCATCACAGTCACTCCTYAGTTCRGTAACTGCTCTTCACCGAGCCCAGTTGTGCAGCGGGGCCACCATGTGTTGTACCTCGTTCCTTYCCTTCAGGGAACAGTAGTTATATGCATAACATTACGTTCCCTTTCAGTCAATTCACTCGGTACAACATCATGTATGGGACATATATAAACGCCCCGCAGAGCAGCACCAAACTTGGGTCATAATAACATGCTAGTGCAGCACATCAGACCCAGCGGAGAGCACAGAGTGAGCCACCGAAGGGGCTGTCACATCTAAGCGATAAAACTGAACAAACGTGTGTGGTGAAGACCAGCTGGCCGCAGCACAGATGTCTCTCACAGGTACTCCTTTAAATAGTGCCCAGGATGCTGCTACACCCCTGGTGGAGTGAGCTCTCATACCAGATGGGACTGGGAGACCCCTGCCGCTGTAAGCTAAAGAGATAGCCTCCACAATCCAGTGGGAGAGTCTCTGTCTGGACAGAGCCCTGCCCCTGAGTGGGTTAGCAACACACACAAACAGCTGATCACATGACCTCACTTCCTGTGTGTGATCAATGTAAATACGCAGTGCACGTAGAGGCTTATTGAGTTTTTYTCTTTTACTGTACCTCTCTCTGTGTCTCTGTTTCCCTCCTCTGTGTCTGTTCTTGTCTGACTGGAGGTTGAAGACAGTAGTCACGCATTTTGGTCCAGTCGTGAAGGAGGAGGGTTAAGAAAAGATTGTGATCGGGTTTATTGTTTTGTTATTTATTAAAGCTTATCAGCACGACTCACCTTGCACACCAGTCAATTCCAACTCCACTACGAACTACTTCCCGCAGGCTTTTCACAATAGAACCACGTTAATTCTCCATCASCATAACGTCTCCATATTAACTAACTGTGTTAAATCTAACTGTGCACGTCACTGAAGAGGTGTTTACTACATTCAGCGACGGCGAAAACGGGATATTTTTTTAAACGACAGTCAATATAAGCAGCGGAATCGCCACCCGCGGCTGCAACTAGCTGCTCCAAACATTAGCATGCTAACGCACATAGCGGTGCAGCAAGGAAAAATGTCCTCCGGGAAACAACAGTTCTCTAGCAGCCACGACGAAACGTTCCTCTATTTAAACCGGATTGTCCGATATTCAGAAAATTCCTATCATAACAAAAATAAAAACCGGTATTCGGTACAAAACGGTATACCGCCCAGCACTAGTTACAACAATGACATGTTAGCTGGTTACATTAACGTTTATCATCACCTGGCCTGCTGCAACATGCCTGCAGAGGTACAAACTAACAATCTGTTAGACTGTCTTATCTATAATCTAGAGTAAATGGCATTTGCCCGATCATTGGTGATATTGTGACTATTGCTATGTTTGTTGTGCACAGTTATTAAAAACAAAATGAATCAAGCAGAGATACTTACTTGTCAAGCAGAAATGTGGCTAACTCCATCGGTGTCCAATCCTTTCAAGATGACTAGCTTCCCCCTCCTCTGAAAAGCCACTCTCTTCACCCTAGTTTAATTCCAGGTCTGATCTAATTCTTTCTTTTTAACTTGGATTTCATTTAAGGATAGGTACCTTTGACGTTTGAATCGATTCAGTACCAATATCCGGTACCTGGGAATCGATACCGGTACTTAACGGTACTGATTTTCGGTACTTTGTGTGTTGTTTTTTCAATAATAAACTTTTATTTTTTTATTTAACATTTTTCTCAATATATAAAATTAACAAATATCAAGACAACATCCAACTATTTGTATTGTAACATCAGTTGTGTAGCATTTCTTTAAAGTGAAAACTGTTGAAAACAACAAGACTGTTTTGTCTTATTACACAAATTAAAATCCAGCTCCATGTATTTCTATTGACGTCATTTCCCCGCTAGAAAAATTGTGTGATGGAGGTCCGTGGAAGGCAAATAAGTTTAAATCAAATAGGCAAAAGAGGATGCAGTTAAAATAAATAAAAGCTGTTCAAGCAACGTTTTGAGCATCCAAAACGAGCCCAACGCTTCAAGCTGGCTGCTTGTGCTCTTTAGGTCAGAYGTGTTCGGACTGTTGGCTAGTGCCTCTGTTGTTTTCCTCTGCCGGTCTCTGTTTAATGGCGGATGAAATAAAGAAAGTGGCTTTACTTTATTTACTTTGAGCAAGTGAACGTCGTGCTCACAAGATAATTAATCCACCAGATAATTCAGAGGCGGTCTGTTCAGCGAGGTTTACTCCAGGGGCTGCGAGGCTTTCATGCTACATTCAGACCGAGCTCTGCCTCTGTTTACTGAACCAGCAGCTGCTGACATCATTACGCTCTTGCGTGATGCTGCGTTCAAGACAAGCATGGAAAACTCACCACTCTTACTCCAAACCGGTCGCAATGATGCGTTTAGGTACCGAAACATGGTATCGTTTGATGTTATGTGAATAGATACTCGGTAGTACTGACAGAATTCAGTCTGTGCAAAAAAAAGTATCGAATTCGGTACCCATCACTAATTTCATTCTGGGTCTTCTTCTGTTCCTGTCTTTGTTTTCAGAGCAGGCTTCTCTCCAGAAATTGGCAGTTTTCCTGTAATATTAGCTCGTTTCTCTGCCATTGGCACAGCTGTAGCACAAGGCACGAGCTTGAATAAGTGTGCGTGCTACAAGGCAGGGGGATTGGCATGATTGACACCAGTAAGACAATCCCCATGGCTCTGATTGGCTGTTTTTGACAGGGAGCGGTAGATTTGAACAAATGGCAGCACCAGGAGGAGCCAGATTTTTTTTTTTGAGAATATTTGTCTGTTAGGAGTCAGGACATAGTGACACTTTTGACAAATAAAAGTTACCTATCGCAGCTTTAAACAAAGATTTTGCATGATCTGTTAGTGCTTAGAATATGTATTGGGGATGACTCTCAGATACAACCACACCGAAATTTAGTTCAGTATCTGTAAAACTGGCTGAATTGTAGCCGTTTTTGTGTTTGCTAAGATTGATTAGCTGTTGTGGCCATTTTGAATCAGGTTGACTCGATGGTAATTAGTTGTGCATCAAATGATTACTTTCTGATATTACAATTCATCCAGTGCCTCGTGAAATATTCTGCAAACAAATACAGAGACACAGTCGGTTACATTATAATCCATGTTYCATGGTAACAGATGACAGAAAGTAGCCCAACAGTACAGAATATCTGTTTTTGCAGCTTGAAAAAAGAATCATGCTTTGCAACAACACACTTTTATTTTAACCAACAATTTTTTAAACTCATTTGCTTTAGTGTTGATCTCTTGTTTCTTATTTGTGTTATCGTGCATACACAACTGAATAGGGCTGAGTCGATAGTTGTTAGAGGATAACTATGGTATTCTTATGGTAGTTCTTCTGCATTTCAGTTATCATTTCTGCTTTTGTGTAGTTTTACCGTAGTTCAAACTAAATGCTGACTTATTTCAGGGTTTAGTTTTCCACTGTGATCTATTGAAAGCAGCATTTCAGTCTTAATTTGACAAGTCATCTGAGTGTAGGTGGAAACTAGTATCTATGTTTAAATGTACTAACACAGAGATTAGCTCAAAGGAGTAGTGTGTAGTTACCTTCCTGATGTACTGTGGGCTGTTTGGAGTAGGCTTTAGGCTGATTAGAGGAGGCAGGTTTGAGTGGGGGTGAGTTTGGTTTATTTAGGCCAACAGATTAGTGCCAAGTGGCGAACAGCTACTATAAGAGTTAGCTGGTGGGGGGATAATATTTTGGGTGAATCCTATAAAACATGGATTTGCTTTTTGTAATAACAAGACAAAGTTTTATTTTTTAAAAGCTACAGAATTTTTTTATTTATGGTATTTAGAGAACTTTTGAAGATGTAATCCACATTCTTTTGAAGCCTGTCTAAAGTAAATAAGGTACCAAATTCATATAATATATAGCACAATTACAATCTAAGTTCTATTATGAATTTGTCCAGATTGATAAAACTGGTTAACACACACAATAAGGTTATTTTGATTGTTCCTTTTCTTAAAAAATATATATACTGTATATATTCATTGCATCCTAAACTGTTGA